GCCACAAAGAAGGGGAAGACAGAGGCAACAAACGTCATGTCTTTTTCGGATAAAGACTTGGATCGAATATACTGTCCTCACAATGATGCCCTAGTTGTCACTCTCCGAGTCAAGGATTTTGACGTCAAGCGGATTCTGATTGACCAGGGTAGTTCATGTGAAATCATGTATTACGAGACATTTAAACAATTAAAGCTGCAAGACAAAGACTTGGCGCCTGCTGTATCATCCCTAATTGGATTCAACTCCATGCCAGAATGGCCCGTCAGTAAGATAATTCTCCCAGTTAAAGCAGGAAGCGTGACAAAACAAGTGGAGTTTTGGGTATTGAAGGTCCCCTCAACTTATAACATCATCTTAGGCAGAACATGGCTGCATGCCATGCGTTCGGTGGCGTCATCCTACCACCAAGTAATGCGGTTCCCCAACGACACCGGTATAATTGAAGAAGTCTATGGAGATCAGATCATGTCAAAGCAATGTTTCGCCACGGTGAATGGCAGCCGCGCCGCCAAAGGATACGTTCATTCGGTGGAAGAACCTGAAAGCAATGAACTATTCGCAGATGTCGGCAAAGAGGCTGATCAGAAAGCAGTGGAGGACTTGGTGGAGGTAAAAATAGATGAAAAGAACCCGGATAAGTTCTTCTTGCTCGGTTCGTCGTTGTCCAGCACTGAGAGATTAGAGGTCTTGGAATTCTTGACCTCTAATATCGAAGTGTTCGCCTGGACACCCTACGATAGGGGTGTTCAAGCAACCGAATCATCCGACTAATCCGACCCGAACCGACTGACCCCAATGCATGATGGACGGTTTCGAGCTTAGTTTCGGTCGAAGGCGGGCCTAGTTTCAAAATTAATTTCGGTTTTCGGTCGAATTTCGGTTCTACATAATAAAAAATAATTAAAACCGAACCGACCGTATATTATTAATAAATTAATGATACAGAATTCTGATGATGGTTCTATATGTATTTCTCTAATTGATTTGACAAATCACACACACAACTTCCAACACCCTTATTGACATCTCTCTCTATCTCAATGAACTCAAAAGACAGACCATGACAAATCACACACACAACTTCCAACACCCCTTTTCCCCTCTCTCTGCCTCTTTTTGTTTCATAGATTTCAAACCATCATCTTGTATCTCAAAAAATCAAACGGCATATGGTGATGGTCTATCTCACAGTCACAAATTTCAAACCATGTATTGTATCTCAAAAAACTCAAACAACAGGTGGATGGTGATGAGCAGCCGTCTACCCTTTCCTCTCTCTCTCTCTCTCTCTCCCCTTCTCAAGCTCTCACTTTCCTCCCCCCCATCCGAGCCATGAAAACGCTTCAGGGCCGAGTCGTCTGCGCCACCAACGACAAGACTGTGGCGGTTGAGGTGGTACGACTTGCTCCGTACCCAAAGTACAAGCGACGGGTCAGGAAGAAGAAGAAGTTCCAAGCTCACGACCCATATGTCCAGCTTGAGAAGAGTAGACCCATTAGCAAAACCAAGACTTTTATTGCTATTCCGATCGCTGCAAGGAATGTGCCCAAGCCGAAGGAGGTCCCGCCGCCGGAGCTTGGGCTTCCATTAGAGTCTCAGCAAACCTAAAAGTGAGCTTTGTTTTGTATGTCATTGGTCTTTGATTATCTTGGTCTGCTTCAATTTTCTGTTGTCTTCAATAATTTGTACTATTTTTGGATTGATTTTACATAGGTTATTATGCCAAACTATTTTTTTATTTTTGGAACTATTTTTTTATTTTTGGATGAATGAAATATTTTAGTTTGGACTGTTTATGCTTTGGATTTATTTTACAAGTTATTTATTTTATTCATAATGGGTTGTTTGGACTGATTTTAAATAAATTATTAAGTTTTTTTTTTTAATGGGTTTATCTGTAGAAAGGGCTGTTTGGGTCATTTTCCAAAGCAAAACATAACTAAATTATAAAATTGGGGTGTTTGAATGTTAAATGGGTTAAAAATAATATTTATTCATAAAGGCCCAAAATTGAAGGCCCAACCCGCCCAACCGATCCGAACCCGACCGTTAAACCGAAAATCATCTACGGGCGGTTTCGCCAACAAATTCGGTCGGAATCGGTTGATTTTTCACCCACCCGCACTATTGCGGTTCGGTAGTGGATAGATGTTCAACCCGACCCGAACCGACCCGTGTACACCCCTACCCTACGACATGCCAGGCATTGATCCAAACTTCATCAGTCACCAACTTAATGTCCACCCATCCGCCAGACCAATCATCCAACGAACACGCAGATCGGCACTCCACCATGTCGAAATAGTGGCGGAAGAAGTAGGTAACCTGCTGGAGGCAGGAGCAATTAGAGAGGTGCACTACCCAAAATGGATCTCCAACACGGTCGTAGTGCCAAAGAAGAATGGCAAATGGCGTGTCTGCGTCGACTACAAAACAGTCAACAAGGCGTGCCCAAAAGACAGCTTTCCTCTACCACGGATAGATCAACTGGTGGACCAAACGGTGGGGCATAACCGACTTAGCTTTCTGGATGCATACAGAGGCTACCACCAAATCGCCATGCATGAGCCAGACCAGGAGGTCACATCCTTTACAACTCCAAGAGGACTGTACTATTACAAGGTCATTCCCTTTGGCCTAAAGAGCGCAAGGGCAACATTCCAACGGATGGTCACCAAGATGTTTGAACCATTGTTAGGCAGAACAATGGAGGCTTACATCGACAACATGGTGGTCAAGAGCAAGGACAAGATGAAAATGACCATCTTAAGGACCTAGGCGAATGTTTGAGATCCTGAAGAAGCACAAGTTGCGCCTCAATGCGTAAGTGTGCATTCGGAAGTAGGATCTGGCAAATTCCTGGGCTTCCTTGTGACCAACCGAGGTATAGAGGCAGACCCCTCTCAAATCAAGGCAATCCAAGATCTGGAGAGACCAAACTCGGTAAAAGAAGTGCAGCATCTCACCAGGCGATGGCAGCTGCATCACTGATCATAAGCAGGTCATCAGATAGACTACGACCATTTTTTTCAGCCTTAAAGGCCAAGTTTGAGTGGGATGAAAGAATGCGACCAAGCTCCTGGAAAGCTTGAAGGAGTATATATGTCTTCCCCACCACTGCTTGTTCCCAGTACCTGGTAAAGAACTCTCTTGTACTGGCAGTCTCTCAGCACGCAGTTAGCGCAGTGTTGGTTCGTACAGAAGGAATCCAACACTTGCCCATCTATTATGTCAGCAAAACATTGCTAGGAGCCGAAACAAGGTATTTGCCACTGGAAAAAACTGGCATTT